CAGGCTTTAATACCATCCTTCCTCAAGTTCTCATGCTCCAAGTCACTAAGGTTCCAAATGATAATGATATGATGAAGGATCAACACTCTTGGGGGACATTATATGCATGTCGCATCCTTGTCCCAGGCAATAGCAAAGATTTTCAAGAAACTTTCCTTATAATGTCATAGTATCTATCCTCACACCAACTGTTCACTCCTAGCCACCCTCCCCCAACCCAAGATGGAGAAGGACATTTGGAGAGAGAAAAGGGAACTCATGCTCTTCCAAAGCAATCTGGGAAAAAGAATCCAGCACATCCCCCAGAACCTTTCCTTATAGATGGGCCATGGATCTATTGGGGTATGGGCCTAATTTGTTGAAAACCAACCTTATATCTTCTTTTAGTGGGCACTATCAAGAGGTTACAATATCCATTTAAAAAACTTCCCCTATTTCCATCACTGGTAACTTATAGCAAGTATTTTGCCATTAAATGACCACACTATTCCAGTTGCCAAAATTCTATTAGCTACCTTCTGCATCTCCCAGCCTTCACGTCCTCCTTAATATCCTCTTTTCCCTTGCAAAACAGATAGGCAAGATTCCTGCATATTCAAAAAGCAATTCCAATCAATATCTGTCGACATTACTTCAATTGCCAGTGCTAGGACTGCCCACTGCCGTTAGTGACTGACTCAGTGACTTTCTGTAACTTCGCTCCTCCCTTTAGTGATTTGAATTTGTGATTCCTCCTTTGAACTGCATCAACTTCGATCACAGAATCCAAGACTCCGCCCAGCCCCGGCCACCCTTGACAACGACTGCTTTTGGGATGATGACCCTCTTCTTTCTACCACAATAGATTCAAAGACCTTCAAAATTTTGCCGTAAGGATTCTAATGCTTCTTCATAACAAGATTTTCATTCTTTTTCAGCATATCATCATAATTTGAGCATTCCTGACATGTCGCTAAAGTGCAAAAGAACTCTTCAGCTTTTCTTGACCAGGTAGGCCCTTCTCTACCCATCATAATCCGAAACCTTGAACCTTTAGTGAACATTGCAATGCTAACATATATAAGGTTTAACCCCTCAACGATAATGACAACGAATTTTGCTTCATTATCAACTCTGTTTTACCTCCAGTAATCACAGCCACAAAAATAATCTAAAAACAGAAAACCCAATAACTAACTAGAACACCAATAAATCGAGGAACAAACAAGACTTGAAAAAGTTTATCACCTTCTTGCAAAGCAGAGAAGACCTGAAGTGAAGCTTCTTTATGGTTGACATTGGAGGAAATATTATCACCTCTTTCGCCTCGTCATGAACCCCAAATATTAGTAAGTCTTCATTTTAAACTGATGGATCAACATTAAAAACTTGAGATTCTATTTTGCCTTTATGCCATTTTGTTCCTTTTGCTTTTCTCCTTTTTTCCCCTCAAGAATACCTTCTCTTCTCTATCTACTCTGTAATTCATTTCTTCCTTCCTAAATAAACTTCATCTCTTATAAAAGGAAACAATAAACAAATATGTGGCATAGAAGAATATTCTTATTTATTATTGAATAGCTGGGTCCTATATACTTACAACTTTGAGTATAAAAAAGGAAACCCTAAAATTATTACAAATGAATATTTTACTATTATACCCTTACACACACACTTTCCAACACTCCCTTTAAATTGGTGAATAGATATTGCCCGTTCCCAGTTTGGTAATAATTGTCTGAAAATCTTGTACTGTCTAAACCCTTTGTAAGCACATCTGCAAGTTGGGAGTTCGTGGGCACGGAGAGTGTGCAAATAAAACCACTTTCTAGTTTTTCTTTGATGAAATGTTTGTCAACTTCACCATGTTTTCTTTTGTCATGCTGTACTGGCTAATGGATGATACTGATTGTTGATTTGTTGCCACAATAGAGCTTCATCAAACCATCCAACTTGATCCTTAGGTCTTCCAAAATCATTTTCAACCACAATATCTCATAGACTCTTTAGGTCATCGCTCAAAATTCTGATTTTGCACTGGATCTTGTCACCATATTTTGTTTCTTGTTTCTTACTTCTTCATGTGACAAATTTCCTCCAAATAAGTATAACAACATGTAGTGGATCTTTTATCTACTATTAATCCAGCAAAGTCAGCATCAATGTAGTTTTCCAGGAGTACTGTTATTTCTGAACATAATATTATTTCCCGATGTTCCCTTTAGGTACTGTAGTACTTGGTTTGCGAAGATGAGAACATAATATGATAACTCAGGCCTATGGAATATACTGTAAAAACATGTTTGAGAGCTCCTGGTTCGAGTTTTTTATAACGATGCTAATGTACGTAACAAAGACAACACATTCAAACATTCTACGAGCAAGATGGTTTTTGACAATGACCCCTAGGTAAAATGTGGGAAGGACATCCATGGAACTTTCAAAGTCCAATAGCTTGGATGGTAATCGATTAATTAAGTAGGTGGCAGTAACAATAACTTTCCCCCAATATTGTTTAGGCGCATGGTTTTGAAACAAGAATATCCAAATACTAGCAAATAAGTGACTGTTTTTTCTTTCTACCGCTCTATTTTGTTGTGGAATGTTGACACAAAATAACTCGTGGACAATCCCTTCTTGATGAAAAAAAAATGAGAGTGTTTGATTGAAAAAATCTTTAGTATCATCAGTATTAAATCTTTTAATATGAGCACCAAATCGGCATTTAATCATATTGTGAAACTGTGGAAGTACATGACTCACATCAGATTTAGACTTAAGTTAAAAAGTCTGGTGACTCTTGTACAATCATCTATGAAAATGACAAACCATCGAGATCTAAAAATATTAGAAATGAAGGGATGAGCCCCAAATGTCATTATGTATTAATGAGAAAGAGATAATGCTCCTTTATTACTTATAAGAAATGTCATACGCCTACGTTTAATAAGTTCACATACATCACAGTGCAAACTTCCACTATTAGGTTTCTTAAAAGTAGAAAAAGAAGGATGTCCAAATCTTTTGAAATGGAGTCAAATTTTGTCACTAATAGTTTAGAGAGAAATGAGAGGGATATATCCAAGAAATATAACTCATTGCTTATCTTAGCATGTACAATCATCACCCCTGACTCCCTATCCTGAAGACCACAATGAGAAGGAAAAAATCTCATTTTCTAATTTACATCTTGAGATAATTTAGTCACTGGTACAAGATTAGCACAGAGTTTTGGGACATGAAATACATTCTCAACAGTAAGATTGGAACTAATCGTGATATTACCAACTCCTGCTATATTGGTTCATGAAACATCTATGATTACTATTTTTCCGCTACTAGGACAAAGAATATATGTACTAAAAGATTCATGAATATATAATCCGTGAATGTACAACATTTCTATCTGAGACATTTAAACCATGTGAAGTAGAGAATTATTTGAATGTGCTAACGGGCTGGTATATATGAGATTTTCTAGAGATTACAGGCGAGTTCTCAACCTTTCAATTTCCTTTTCAAACTATTTGCATTCTGGAGCCTTTTCTTCCAACTGTTTACTTTCAAGTGGACATGCCCCTGGGTTTTACGTAGGACACTTTTGTGTCCTGCCTAATGTGAGTTCATCCTTTAGAATTGGCATGGTGATGAAGACGCAAAAAACACCCTGAAAAAGGTAGGGGCTGGACCGTGCGGCTATGTACACTGCTGGTAATGAAGGCCAGCTGGCTGTGCATGGCTTGGTGGTGGCTCTCAAGGCCAGTTGAGAAGTGGCCGCCTATGGAGGCAGGTGGTGCAGGAAATTAGAAACAAAACTTCGTATCGGCCAAAAAAGGAGCTGAAACTAAGCGGATGAGTGTGATCAAGGGCTGGGTGTGTCAGTTGTGGCTGGGAAAAAGCTTGGCACGACTGAACAGGGGCAGAAGGTGCAGTGCACAGCAGATAGCAGTGCACCCAGCAAAGCAGAACTGGAAACAGAGCATAACAGAGCAGCTGCCATCAGAAGCAGAGCAGAAAAGGTAGCAGTGAATGCAGCAGAGCAGGAAACAGAACAGAACCAGAGCAGAACGGAGCAGCTGGCGCCCGAAACACAGAGCTTGCGAAGCAGAGCACGTGAAACAGGGCACTCGGAAACAGAGGCGGCTGAGCAGGACAGAAATAGAATGCAGGCTGCCATGGTTATTTGCACGGAGAAAGAGAGGTGGTTGAACAAGGCAGTTCCAGCAATGAAGGCCGGTTTTAGGTTTAGGGTGTTTTCCAACAATTAAGGCCGATTTACAGTTTGCAAGCTAAAGAAACACTTCTTTTTTCTCCTATAGCTCTGATATCATGTGGGAAAAAAGAACGTTTTTATTTGTTATTAAATACTTAGATCCTATATATACACAGCTTTGGGTATAGAAAAGGAAACACTAAAATAAATTACGTAAGACTAATTTACTATTATACTCTTACACACTCAATCACGCATGTATACTTTCTAACAAAATAAAGCTGTCATAGTAAATACCTCAAGAATGGGTCCTCGATCAGCTCCTAGTAAGTGAATCTCATCCAAAATCATGAGGCCGACCTACTTAAGGAAGAGACATGTTAACCCTATCCACAGAAAGTACCATATTGAAATAAAATTCAGGTTTGTAAAAATTTTACTTTTAAAAAGCCAAGAAGTTCATATTATCTATCAGCAGCAATTCAGCAAGAAAAAATAGCAAAAAATAAAGAACAAACTAACCTTGGTAACATAGCTTCTGCTGTGCCAGTTACGGCTAATACCATCCCACTTCTCTGGAGTAGATATAATGATATCTGCTGACAAGAGAGCCATCAAATCTGGAGTATAATCTCCAGTCATTTCAACCTGACAAACAGAAAAACCAAAACTCAAATTTTACCTAATCAAAACAAGAGGAAAAAGACTCCTACATATACATGTACGTATGCAAGCATGTGTCCAGAAATATAGACATGCACCCATGCCAACTTATATGTGCATGATTTTATGTATTAAAATATATTGTTACCATCTCTTTTCCCAGCAGAGAGACAAGTCTTTTTCTCCAATCACTCATTCTTTCCCGAACAATAGCTTTTAATGGTGCTATGTAAATAACCTGCATTATGGCAAAAATATAACCACACCCACATATAAGGATAGAGACAGCAGAAGTCTGCAGTGTAGATACTTTGACACAAAATGTTTGATTTATTGCACCAAAGATTTTCTGTTGTTCATGGATTAAGAACTTCAAAGATAACACATGTAGATTTCTTGACTACAAAGGTAAGAAGAGTTACTGCTATCCATTTCAATCACTATTGTGCTGCCTCCTTTTTGAAGTAAACTTCTGTATATTTTTTTAAGGATGACATACATTAAGATCATTTTTCCGCCAAATTTTCTATAATTCTGATTGAACAGCAACATGCATGAAGTATATGTTAAGATCATTTTATGGCTTCAAAGCACATCAAACAAATATTACAATATAAGGCTCTCTCCGAAACCTGAAGCAAATCATCAGTGTTAATTTCGTTTGGCCAATACTCAAATAAAAATTATCATGTTGAAGGAGACTTTACCTTTCAAAAGGAGTGGAATAAAACAAATATCTTCCACAGTAGAGTGACAGGTAAGAAACCAAATAACATTTGCAAGAGTAAACACCCATCAACTAGAGTCCAATTGGTATAATTCGAATCTAGGAGCAAGACAACAAGAACTAAGAAGGTTTATCGGACACCAATCTATAGTTTCCTAATCACTGAGGTGCTTAAAGCAAAAAGATCTCAACACCACCGGGCATTTGGAAGAAAAAATTTCTAATTTGTCGCATGAAATTCTGGCTTCGATTGTCAAATTACTTCTCTATCCTTTTAGAATGTAGCTTTCTGTTGTGAGGTTTCACTCCTTATCTCATTGAAAGTTTATGGGTCCAACATCCTGATTTTGATAACAAATGAAAGAGTGGTGGGGTATCTTTTCTACAGAGGCCAAGGAACAAACACATTCATGAAGAAACTTAAATTTATGAATTACAAAGCTAAACGCATGGATAAGAGGTCTTTGGGATATCAAGAATTAGGAAGAATGATTCCCTAAACCAGATGATTTTCTGGATAAATTGAACCCACAAATGCTCTTTTGGATGATCAACAAGCCAGGTTGATTTTTTCTAAATAACAGAACAAATATTTTTAGAAGAGTTTAAGAAAATAGAAAAAGAAAAGAAAAGAGAAGATGTCCTATGAGAAGAACAAAAAGGAAAACCAGAAAACAAGAAAATAGAATAGAGATTAGAGAATAGAAAAGCCTAAACATAGAATAGCCAATTACATTTTTCTTTGAGAGAAAAAAATGATAACATATTAAAAGCCACCGAGGGATGCAACCATAGGTATTCAATCAAGATTCTAACTGCAAATTGAAACTCAATGTTTTTAATCGATAATTGTGAACCGAGTTGATTCATAAGGTTCAAAACATAGTAATTAATCAAAACTGACTTGTATGTGAATGTGTGTGTGTATATATATATATTTTAAAGAACAAAATTCAATTTGAGAAATTGATACTAAAAGTATTGATGGTAATATTTATTTTCAAAACAAATTTTGTAAAATATTGTAGGTTATAAGCAAAACAAAATTATCTAAATATTTTGATTTAGTTTTTGGTTCTCAACAACGTTGAGTGCATTGCAAAAGTTGAGTCAAATTGTATGATTTACTATTATTTTCATGATTTGCTTAAGACTGTGATAGATTGCAATTCATGCATAGACTCATTTTGCTATTGAAGATTCAGATGACAATGAGTTCAACAATACAAAAAGGGGCATAGAGGAAAGATAAAAGATCAACAATTTTCAGACTATTTTCGGAGTATCATCCAATCTACACGCATCTTGCAAATATGGAGAAACTACCTCTCAACTCACTTTTTCAAGCTCCTTGTCACATTTTCATATTGGTGAATGCCCTTTCAACTTTTCATGTTTTGATACATCCCATATTTATGAAATTTCTCTTGATATCTTTTTTGACTTCATATGGAATTGACAAAAAAAACTAAATTTCCTTTATACTGAGAATAAGCATACATATATAGACATATATAGCTTATAGAAAGAGAAAAGATATGAAACTAATTTCTCAGCAAGTCAAATCAAACCTATTTATCAGTGAGATTCCCTAACCGATATGCCATAATTTTAGCAAGATCCATTTTCTAATTTTAAAATATAAGATTGATGGACTTCTAACATTCTCTCTCAAGCTAGTGAGTATGCGTCTTTCACTCCCAGCTTGGAGATAAGTCATTGGAGCATCACACTATATCTGCAAGTTGACAATTACTGGAGCGTATAGAGTACAAATCAATCCTGCTTCATTGTCATATTGCACATGATAGTAAGCAATGCTAATGACAAATAAGATTTCTCAAATTTTGGTTCAGACTAAAAAATTATATCAAATCAGACTGATTAGTCTTTAGCCCAAATGGATAAATCAAATATTTTCGGTGTGATCTAGTTCGGCCCCCAATGTACAGACTGAAAACCCAAAAATTAAATTTGAAAAGAAAAAGATCACCCCTAATTGGACCGACAGTCCAGAGTGTATTCTCCATCACTCTATTTGCACCCAATGACAACTATTGCTTTGGCAAATCTTCCAAACCAAGCCCTTAGTTATTGTCTTAAACCATATTGTACTTTCTTTAATACGCACATTTTATTCTCTTAGTTTTCTCTTGAAACCCGTGGGATATCCATGTCTTTTTTCCAAATGGTTATGAAGCAAAAGCATTCTTTACAGAACCATCTGCAACAGTTATCTTTCAATTATTTGAGCAGGGGGTATAAGTGCTGAACTTACTAAATTCTATGGCTCTTGAGTCAACAATTCATAGGTTCCTAATAGGTTCATTAAAGATAAGTAATCACTGAGAAATGAAAATTTTACTTGAGAATGCAAGAGAGCATACACCACTGTGCTTCTCTAATGATTCCAAAAGTCCTCTTCTTTCCTCAATCTCCTCCATACTAAACTCAATCTAGTATTGAGATTTTTCTTGGATCAGCTATTTCATATTGAAGTTTACTTGATTTTGATTTTTCTAATTGTCTCCTCGGTTGTCCCACTCTCTGCACAGTAGCTTACCATTCAATGCTCAACATTTACCTCTACTTCTTTAATAGAAAAATAAATTTTATCAAGAATATTTCCTTCTACTATGCTTGGTTTCTTCCAATAAGTACACCAAAGAAAATCTTTATTGTCCATTCCTGAGGATCTTGACAAATATATCCTCAATTTTCCTATATTAGCAATCTTTCAATTATTGTCACCCATATTGAACCTTCTAGGACATATGGAACCTCTTCCTTCCTAATAATTTGGACCCTTCATCAAATTCAGCAGTGAAACCTACAAGAAAATCATAAATTCAATCTTTTTAATAAGATTCTTCAAAATTGCAGCATCTTTTGTGCACTTAGAGTCAATGCATTAACAATGTCAAGTTCTTGGCAGAGGCTCTATAATAGATTTGCAAACTTGGTAACAAAAAGCATTCTGATATTTCTCATCCTGATTTTAGGCAATGGGGCCTACAACCACATCTAGGGGGCAGGAGCATATTAATTATGGGTTTTGTGGTTGGAGTGCAATGCTCGAATCTTCACAAATTGCTACTTTTCTCCTTCTATTCTTGGGATAGAATGACTTTTTTCGCTTCATTATGGGCCAAGGTTTATAGGTGGTAGCGATGTCCAGTCACCTTTGTTAGAAAGTGTTATGCTCCCTGATTAAGAATCGAGTCACCGGACGGTTAACAACAAAGTCGTCTTCTAATAAAGCGTAAAAACCCTTATTCTTATTGTGAGAGCGACCTATTTTGTGAAAATAAATTACAGTTCATCAAAGGGAGCTGCTATCTTGGATCTCGTTAAAAAGAGCTTCAATCTTATAGTTTAAAATAATATTCTAACTTATCTTTATTAATATCAAGTATACTTCTTTATATAAAGCTTACAATTCTTATTTAGGAATGTTTATCTAATTTGGAATCTAAATCTAATTAGTAATACTTTACTAAAATATTAGAAAATATAGATTATTTAGAAATCTAATACTAATTAGAATTCTGACTATTTACAAATCTAATACTATTTAGGATTCCAACTATTTAGAAATCTAAATCTAATTAAGATTGCAAATTTAATTGAACGTCAATTTCTTATTCTTACTGCACTTTCTATATTTGCATCCATAACATTATTTTCCCCTAGTTTTCAAGCTTGCTATCAAGCTTGCATTGTGGATATGGCTGCCTTATTGGTCTTTTCCTGATGCTCAGGATTAGTGTCACGTTCAATTTCGAGCCTTAACAGTTGTTTACATTGATGATCCGAAACAAACGGCTCATCGTAGTTATAACATAACCCCTTCAATCTCCTTTTTGTCATCTCTGTCCTTATTAATTTCTTTTTAAATGGAGAGAAAGTGTTATCAGATTGTGTCGTAAAGTTGTTACCTTGTGGTGTTTTCTGAACTCAATTGTTAGGCTTGGTAACAAACTGAAAGCTCTATTCATACTCATTGCGTGCATAAGAGTGGTGGGTAATTGTATCTCGACTTCCAACCTGATTGAATCTACAGAAACCGGCAGTAAACATGTCAACTTGCTGGTCTTGCAATACTTTATGGGCACGGGTCAAGAGTTTCTAAAACTGCCGTATAAAGTCCTCCACTGTGACTATTTGTTTTAAGTTGATTAGCTCACATAATTAATTGTTCTATAGGGGTAGACCAAACCGTAACGTGTAGAGTTCAATGAACTGGCCCAATGACATCCATGACTCCTCTTGTTGCAATTTGTAATACCAAAGTTGAGCATCGCCTAACAAGTGGAAGACTATCAATCCAACCTTGTTGTTGTTAGTCATTTTTTAATTAATAAAAAATTGTTCGCAACGATGGAACCAAGCCAACGGATCGTCCGATCCATTGTAGGTGGGAAAATTAAGTTTTGTATAACGAGTAATTCATCCGTTGTTATGGAAACTGATGTTGGATTCCTCACGCCCTACTTTAGTGTGCCGCTTTTTCCCTCCATTATTCTGATTTGAACTACAGTTGTCAGTTTCTATGCTATCAATTTTCTCTTTTTCTTGCACTTGGGCGATTCGGATGAGAAGAAGTTCTAATTGCTATGTGATTTGGTGCAAACTCTCTTTTGTTTTAGTTTCAGAAGCTGTCATCCGAAATTCTAGATTCTGCAACTCTTCTCGTAAACTTTGGTCACCCATGGTGCCTTATCTGATACCAAATTGTTATGTTCCCTTATTAAGGATCGAGTCACCGGGCAGTTAACAATAAAATCGTTCTCTAATAAAGGGTTAACACCCTTATTCTTATTACGAAAGCGACCTATTTTGTAAAAATAAATTACAGCTCATCAAAATGGGCTGCTACCTTGGATCTCGTTAAAAAAAGTTCCAATCTTATAGTTTAAAATAATATTTTGACTTATTTTTATTAATATCAAGCATACCCCTTTATATAGAGGTTGCAATTTTTATTTATAAATATGAATTTAATTTGAAATCTAAATCTAATTAAAAATACTCTACTATGATATTGAAAAATATATATTATTTAGTAATGTAATACTAATTAGAATTTCGACTATTTAGGAATATAATATTAATTAGGATTTCATACTCCAATATTTGCATCCATAACAAAAAAATATTGAAGTTCAGTTTTGAATAGAATTTTTTTGCTATGTTTATTTCTTTCTCCTGTTCTTCTTGGAGGTCTCAGACGATGTAATGCCTTCTTCACTTGTTCTTTGTCCTTATCCTCTTTATTAATAATACTTCTTTTTCAATCCGAAAAGATCCCTAATGATCTCAAAAGGAATTTATCTGTAAATGAATTTTGTTGAAATTAAGCCATGAACTTAAAAAATTGCAGATGGAATTCAATGCATCTTTGGTAGTATACTTTTAGTTTTTCTATAGGAATTTAGATGAAGAACTAGGAAAAAAAATATACAGGAGGAGAAGCTATCTTCCAGAAAAAGAGAAAACATGCAAGAATAAGAAAGAAAACAAATGAAGTGTTAATACAAGGTCGCCACCCACTCCTTCTGCAGTGTAGAAAGCGGAAACCCTAAAGCAACTGTGTAGTTAAATTCGAAGAGAAGCTAAATGGACACCCTAGTCAAATATGATTAACAAAATAAGGGCGTCAATCGAAAATTCTTGAACTAATTGGTAGTACATTTTCAATTTAGTAGTGTTTCGTGTTAAAACTGTACTAACTATAAAGTTGAGATTCAATAATCAAAATTCAACAATTTTGTTCAAAATTCATTTATTTCGAACACAATATTAAAAAATTGTCAACAGTTCTAAAATACGAGATTATTTTGGAGAAACAATATTGCTAGAACCAGTGTAATGTGAGCTTCAGAATATTCAGAGTTCCTCTAGATAGAACTCATTATTCTCCAACATGCTAGCAGCACATATGTGGAAACAAATAGTCTTTTTGAAGAATAGAGGCTCCAATTTGCAGCATTGAGCACACCATCCAATGGAAACAAACCCTTCACCTTCATGTTTCATATTTTTTTATTTTGTCAATATTACCATTTTCTCCACTTGCTAATTTGTTTATTGCATAGAAAAAAATTATAACTCGTACCTTCATGTCTGGCTGAGTATTGAAAAGACGTAACATAGCCAGCTCAGCTGATATAGTTTTACCACTTCCAGTTGGAGCTCCTAACAGGACATTATTGTCTGTGTGATACAGGACATGAAAAATCTGCCATATTTAAGCAGCACAGCAAATTCAAAATATGAGTTAAGAGCTGAACATCATGAAACACCATCCAAGCTTGGGACAATCAAACCTGAGTTTGTATAGGATTGAAATGGGAGAAGTTGTACAAGGATTCATAAACACCATTGCCGAATGAAGTCACAGGAAGAGGCTTTAGATCTAGAAGTTCTGTGTGCGAAGTGCAAGCCTGAATAAAGTAATAACTTTCTATTAGACAGAATCTTAACATGCAAAAGGTTTCATGAAAAAACTTGTTAATTGAATGCTCAAACAACCAAGGACTGAACTAGTCATTTTCCAAAAATGCTATTTGGGTAATACCTCTGGTAGTGCCAGGTTCTGGAAAGAAATGGTGTAAAAAGCCTCTGCATGCAACCAAGAATCAGAAACAGCCCGAATATAGTACTGTGGAGGATGTGGTTCAAATATTGGTACAGTGAAAGAAAGCTTCTGAGCTTCCCCTCTAGCCATCCTCTTGGTCAGTGTAAAAAGCTCCGAGTGATAAATGTAATCATTCTCAGAATCCTATTCAAAATAAGAACTTACAGTTCATAGGCATTACAAGTGAATAGAAGCAAAGAAAATAAGCAAGACAAAAAGCTACACTATCAAGATATGCAGGAACTAAATAATATGCCATATGATAGGTTACTTCCCACCTAAAAATTAATATTTTGAGAAATTGAGATTTAAAAAATAAATAAATAAAACTAGATTAAGAGGCTTGCTAAATTGGCACCTCAACTAAAATCCACCAACGCTGTGCAGCACCGTGGAAACGATCCTTCCATATGAAGTCTGGAGTTATAAGTAAATCTATCTGGCAATCACAATTTACTTTCATGAGCAACTTTGATTTGAAAGCAGGTTATGAACTTAAGTAGACATTTTAAGTTGTTATGTGAGAAGTTACCTTCAAAACAGTCCTGGTGATTGGACTTACAGTAGCTGACAAATGGATAGAAGGGAAATATCCTAAATATTGCTTAACCAACTTCCACCACAAAAGAGAAAAAGAAAGTTAAAAGAAACATTAAAGTCCATTGCCAAAAGAACTTCATTGAACGTTCTATTAAAAGAGACACACCCTTCCCCCGGGTGCATAACGAATCAGAGCTCCAATGTCTTTCTCCTCCATCTCCTGCAGGCGGTCTAAGTCAACCCCCCGTTCTTCAAGCTTTCTCATTATCTGACCAATTAAGATGCATTGTAACAAAAGGTTCAAGACAAAACCAGTTTGAATAATTAGTTAAAGACAGCATACAAGACTTACCTCAGCGGAAAGGTCTTTGTTAAATTGTCTAAGGGGATGCTGATGGGGCCAAATTTGACGATCTACAGCCTTGCAGTACTCCAACATGAACAAAGACATCTCGCACCAGCCTTTGCGCAAGCAAATTTCAAATAGAGCACGCATGATACGTGCCAAACTAGCACTTATATATGCAGCATCAGAGACCAACGAGAAGGTATCAATGGATCCGCGAGATATATACAGCTGCAAATTGTACAACCAGATATCAACTTCAAATATTAGCATCTCATTTACTTTAGACATAAAAAATAACATAACTTGTTCTGCAATTAAATACCTGAATAAGAATTGAAATTTTCCCATGTTTGTTTGACGGACCACCCTTGATTTCTAAAGGGCATGACGTGCGTGCGAGCATCTCAAGCTCATTCTGCTCCTCTTCTCGAACAACAATATTTTCAAATTCAGAAGAATGAGCAACCATTTCAATTACCTAATAGCAAATGCAACAAGAACATTTTATGGGATAATAGTGAACTTGATCACACAAGACGAGAAATTTTTTGGAAAGATCAAAACTTAAACATCCAACTGATGACTAGAATTCATCATATCAAAACTGACAGGCTAAGACATCCTTTCCTATGTTCAAAGCCATTATGTTATAGCAAAAACCAAGTATGAACTGGTGGAAAAACGACATTCGATGTTGATAAGAAATAACCTCACTGTCATTCATATGCCGTCTCAACATTTCATTGTAAGTTTCAACAGTAGAATATTGAATATAAAAGTGACTTGCAATCCGACCCAACTCTGTACAGTAAAAGTTTCCACTTTTCTCATCAAACCGCATCATTTTGGCTTTGTCTAGAGCACGTGCAGCATCAGTTACAAGAGCTCTTTGCTTTGAACCCAAAGTTGGATCAGCAATTATCTGCCAGGCATAACAATAAATATGCATAAGCACAATTATTACAAATATAATAAGAGAAGCTCCGGCAACCAGCACTGGCCAATATATAACAACATATCAGCGAAGGCAAAGATTTAACATTGAAACGGTCCAGATTGCATGGTGCCTGAAGTTATTAACACAAAGGAGAATAACTGAAATTCCTTTTTTTATAGAAAAATAAGTATATTAGGAAGAGAAAGAAAGTACATAAATGGAGAATAAGACATCCTCCTCAAAACTTCAACTAGAACAAACGAAAAAAAAAAAAGAAAACTTAAAATAAAAAAAACCAAGCAGAGGAGTGAAGACTTCTATTACATTTTATTTGGTTCAATTTTATTTCATTCCCACATAATTCCTAACTCTTATTTTTTATATTACTCTTAAGGTATAGGATTAGAATATATTTTACGTTTGATCTCACCCCTTGTCCCCACTAATATAAAGATTAGGTAGGAATTATTTGGAAATCAAATGAAAATTAACCAAACACAACTTTAGTACTATTGTTGAAATAATGTTTTATTTTTGCATTCTTCAATGGCAAGCTGCTTGATTCAGAATCCTCATTTTTCA